ACGTCCCAACTTTCAGAACCATCGTCCCAACTTCCAGAACCATCGTCCCAACTTCCAGAACCATCGTCCCAACTTCCAGAACCATCGTCCCAACTTTCAGAACCATCGTCCCAACTTCCAGAACCACCGTCCCAACTTTCAGAACCATCGTCCCAACTTCCAGAACCATCGTCCCAACTTCCAGAACCATCGTCCCAACTTTCAGAACCATCGTCCCAACGCCTCTCATCATAACCCCAGTTCCCTGGACCATGATAAACTTGCTGACCATTGTGGGGATCCCTCTGATTCCTGGGTTCACTCCTGTTCTGTCCTGCCAGTAGCGGATTGTAAGGCTGGTTGCCAACTGGTACTACCGGTACTCCATTTCTATTGCTTGAATTGTTCTAATGGTAAAGACAGTGGGATGGAAGGAAATCAATACATAGAAACTAGAGCACCGTGAAGCAACAGTTTTACAGTGATAGGTTTTACTAGCATGAAAATCAAGCTGTGTTGGCAATACATGTACTGTATATAGATATATCATATATGTATCATATTCCTGTTCAGAAAGTTGACAGTCGTGATATATGCATTTTGAGGCACCCGAGTACATGACCCTTAAAACACAAAACTTAATATTTCAATCTGAATAGCTTCTTTGAATTAATCAACTGTCTTATGACACAAGAGGTACAATACATTTGGTCAGTAGGACTGGTGAACACACGACACTTCACAGTACATAACATAATGACATAACCACTCTTTTGGATAACATTTACACAGGACCAAAAGTTGAACAAATACACAAGAACAATGTGAATTTTTTTAATAGCTCAACAGATCACTTGAGCAAGTACTGGATATGCAATAAACTTGTGAAGTTAATAACAAGATTGCAGTTGGACAACACTATTACATGTTGTGAGCAATGTGGTTTGAGTGGGCAACCTTGGCCTAAAAAACAAAGGTGATATGTTAAGACTGACTGTGGTGTGTTAAGAAGACTGTAGTATTGAACAAAATGTTGAATGCATCATTCTGTATATAGTGATCTACTGCACTGTTTCATGGGTGTGATGATTAACAGATGTGAGAAAGAAATAAAACAAGTTATAAACTACAGTAACTACAGTTCACCGTGCAGGTTTAGTACCAGTAGCTCTTCACCACAGGGCAGTTACCTTAACCACAGGTATCTTAATATCCTTCCCATCTTTGCTGTACGGTAGAAGTGTCTGGAACTGTTTGTTGTCTATTGGGCAGGTTTTCCTCCTCTGTTGGACAGAGTAAAAGTAAAAAAGTAAAACATAAATATCAATCCTGAAAAAAACATTTGAGACAGAACTGACTAGTGCTTCTATAAGGAAAGAGGAGCGATAATAACAAACAACATGAGGAAAAAACAGTCATGAGAGACCTAGAGGACATGGGTTTCAGTTGGAAGGGAGCAAAAAGGCAAGTGCTGGACAGAAGAGAGTGGAAAGCAGTGTATACAGCAAAAGGTGAGTGCTAAAAAAAATCCTTTGAGGACTCCTTGCTAGATAATTCTAAAGTGTAAGACAGCTGAGGCCTGGGAAAAAATGCTGTGTTTCCTGTTCCCCTACTGACCCAAGAAAAAACTTAATACAAGTGTCCTCATGCAAATTCCACTGTACTGTAAGTGTAACAGTTGGGTCACTCGAGATTGCCAAGTCTAAAAAAGAAAATCCCTACCTACCAACCCTAATTTTTTTTCAAGACTGAAACAGGAAACATAGGCCTTAGTGTAAGACTGTTGATTCCGTACCTGTTGCCAGGCCTGCAGACAGTCCAGACAGTAGACATGGCGGCAGATGTCGGGGCGTGCTAGCGGCTGGGTGGTCAGCTCAGACAGACAGATGGCACAGCAGTCAGGCTCCGCTGCTGTTTTTTGGTTGGGAAATAAACACATTCAAAATTTGCCACATACTGGTAGCTCATAAACCAATAGACATTTAGGGAAAGATGAAATCAAGCTTACAAATGACAAACATTTCACACAAACTTCAAGTAACGATTTTACGGCGCTTACCTATTCTCTGCCTCTTGGTTGTTTCTGCTGTTGTTGCAGGGGGTATGCTCTGGCTCTTGGCTTCATTAGGGGTTGTTCGCTTTTTATTCCCCTTCTTAGTTACACAAGCTTTTGCTGTTGTTTGTTTGCCTTCACCGAATGCCTGGTCGGCTGTTCTCTTCTTCCCTGTTGTTCTAGTTGTAGCTACACTAGGTGGTGCTGTGCCGGTGTTACTCTTTCTCCCACCAAATCGTGCTGTTCCTCCCCTCGATGTTGAGCCCTCATCAGTTTTCCTGGCTGTCTTCCTCCCAGCTGGCCGGGCTGTCCCTCCTTTTGGCACTGCTGTCCTCTTTTTTTCTTGTTTACCGTAATGTCGCCCAGATGACTTTTGTGGCAGCCTTGATGTGCTGTGTGCTGCTCCAGATTTCCCCCTCACTGTTTTTCCCTGACTAGTGCCTGCCTGGTTGGCTGAAGTCTTTCCAAGAACAGATGCCTGTGCCTTGCTGTTCCTATTCCCTTGTGCAGCTGTTGGTCCTGGTTGCGGCTGTCGGGATTGCTCGGTTAGACTACCTGCCACCCGTGTGCTGGACCTGGTCTGTACAGGTGATCTTCTGTGGGGAGCTCTACTCTCCATTTCATCCAAATGTGTAACATATTCTTGACTCCTGCTGCTTTTTGATGTGCTGCACCCAGCCTCCCTCCTAACACTGTCACGGTGCTGTCCAGTCTTGCTGCCCGTGGCCTCCTCTGTCCTGTCTCTGCTGTCACTCCTACCCTGGGCTGCAGAAGGTGGATGTCTTGACGCATTCCTTCTTACATTCCGTGTCTGTACAGGACTTGACCTCCAGTAACCTCTCCTTTCTCTACTGTTACTCTGGGCTGGACGTTCAGGTACATGTATGTCCCTCGCATCACTTTTCATCTGCGCCGGACTTGTTTTGAAGTTGCCGCTTCTTTTTCTTTGTTGAACTTGTGCAGCACGCTCCTCACAGCTAAACCTTGTTAGCCTTTCATAATGATGGTGGGATCTTGAGCCACTTTGCCTGTTAGTATTTCCCGTACTGCTATGAGTGTGAGTAGTAGGCTGTGACTGATGTTGTTGTCCATGTTGCTTTCTTTCCCGCATTGTTGGACTTGGAGCACCTGTTTGAGGCATATCGCTTGTCAAGGAAGCACACTGACAGTCTATCTGTGTGTGAGAATGTTTTCCTCAAGCGTACCTGTAGCAAAAGCAGGGACATACATATGGATGTAAAATAAGTTCACTACTAATACCATTACTACGTGTAGTACTAGTAGATGTTTTGTCACCACAAAAAGAAGTAAAATTTTCTAAACATTCTAATATCTAAACACTCAATCTTCTGTTAATACAAATGAGTAAAAAAGGGTATAACTTATATATTAGCGTTTGGGGAGAAAATGAGGTGTACGGTGTGCAAAATATACATTTTGTACCATGAGATTGATACTATAATGATCGATACTCTCACCAAAATTTCCAAAATGGACGATACATAATCCAAGATTTTAAACCTCATTGGATTTAATTAATCTTTAGACCTTTCATGATTCACTTTTCTCGGGACTATTGCTAAAAAAATCTTTGAAATTACCAGTTGGGCAAGATGCAGTCATAAACGATGATAACGGCCACGGAAAGAGAGACACTCACGAGATAACCTTAGTAGAGGAAGAAACCCTCGGACGGTCGTCTGGAAAATGTGGCACGACACAAACATGAATTTCGTGCTGAGGAAAATTGGCGCGAAATCCTAACCTTTGACATGACGACTGATCCAAATGGACATTTCATTTTTAACTTCATGAGCCGAAAGATGAAAGCTGCATTGAAAAATTCTGCACACTCCAGCTATGTATTAATGGTTTGAAATTATGTAATGATAGATTTTATTTGCTTTTATGTTGTCCTTTTTGCCTATTAATAATGTACCTCCCCTGTGACATAATAGAAGGGTCCAAAAAAGGTTTCGTGACGCGTGCAAAAACAAAGTAGCAGGTGCATTTCGGGAAGGACACGTGACGTGCTCATCAACCAACGCTGGGACGCCATCTTTGGTTTGGTAAGTGAATTCACGGAAATTAAATTCGAGTAAACGCCTGAATTGTACAAAATGTACACATTTTAGATGCGTTTGGATAATACCAGTGGTTTCGATATATCCTACAGCACATCATTTTGTTGAAGTATGTAGCGCATTTTCGCGGATTGTTGTGATGTTTACCCGATTGTGTTCCTTGTTCATGGACGCCGCACAAGCCAAACCATCCTCATGGCATGGACCTGGCCGTTTTAGTTCCTCCAAAACGAAACTGGCTTAGATCGTAGGATTCCATGCTTTCCTCAGCCTTTCCTGAAATCTTGGAGACACAGTTACGAGATGCTACAATCAAAAGAATTCCAACACGGTCGTGTTTGTGTGTGTTTGACTGTTTCCTTGTTGTGGATTTACCCCCCTCCCCCTTCATAAATTATTTGTTGTCACGCGATAGGATCAAATTATTACTTGCGGGTTTTCAGCTAGGATTGTAATTATAAACAATGCGTGCCAGGGTGTGCTTGTAACGTAAGATGATTTGTGTAGTTCATTGACACACTGTACCACGTGTTCAGGCAAAATTTGTGTAAAAGAGTGTTCATGGTTGTCTTTTCATAATCCTGTCACTCTTAGTGTTACACCAGGCTACTTTTGCATAAATATTGTCTGTTCAAACTGTTCTGTGGATGACTTGATCTTGTTTAAAAAAATGTGTGTTATCCTTTACATCATCTTATATCCTGCTTAGCCCAATTTGCATCGGATTACAAGCAGCTTTACATCTGCTGAGTACTGTTAACTTAATTTCTATGTATCAACTTGACATTTCTATTTCAAAATAAGTTTGTAATAACATGAATTTGTATTTATTTCTTACTATTTGTGTCACAGGTTTTTGGACTGTTTTTGTTGGGTCTGCAGAGCTGGTCAGGTGTTACATGGGGAAGGCAGGGGTTTTTCTGAACAGGGGAACAAGGGCGCTGCGCCCTCATGTAGCAAACCAGCGCCCTCATATCAATTTTCAGATTGAAGCCTAAGTCTTTTTCAAAATTATCTTTTTCCAGTAAAAATACAAAAAACAACACCACATAACAATACATTCTAGCATTACAAACTATGTCACTCTCATAAAAATTCCACACTCTTACCACAAACTTGAAAATTTAGCTCTAGTAGTCACCCATTCTTAGTTAACGTGTGCAATTGGGGTTAGAAAGTGATAAAAAATTAAGTTGTCGCTAGGACTTTCCAAGTGGCTTTAACTTATTCCCTATACTGTTGACTATATTAGGCTACTTTTTTAAAGTGCCAGCTGTTTTAATTTGTGAAATATCGAATATTTATCTTTATCATGTCACTTTCAAGAGAGTGATTTAAAAAACACCAGTTTACACACTGATAACGGTCTGAACAAGTATTGTTTATTGTAACAAAGCACAAAAGTATTTTTTCTCAACAAGAAGCCCCAGACGAACCTCCCAGGGGGCATCATCTTGCAGTGGTGTTCGTTTTTATTTATTTATCATCAAATATTCTCATACTAATAGTGGTTGATTTTTAGGAAAGATAACTACACAATGTAGTCTTTTCTGTTGTGAATACAGATTTTACTATACTTCATATATTTGTACTTGACGGGAAGCGGTAAGAACCATGGAATGCAGTATTGATTACAGTTTAAATGTATCTGCAACTGCACTCTGGGCCAACGCTAGCATATATTGGTAACGTAAGTAACAGCATTGTCACGTAAATAATAACATGGTAACAACAATCGAAAAAAGTGAATGTTGCTTTCCCCCTAACTTAGCAGCATGCATACAACGTGCAAGTGATGTCAGCAATGCTACTTCTCGTTTTTAGACATTTATCAGAAACATTTGCATAATAAAAGTGGTTGATTCTTCACAAGATACATGTAACTTCACAATATTGTCTTTTTTTTCTGTGAAAAAAGGTTTTACAATACATTTGTACTTGACAGGAAGCGGTAAGAACCACGGAATGTAGTAATTACAACAATTTAAATGTATCTGTAACTACACTATATACAAATGCTAGCAAATATTGGTAACGTAAGTAACAGCTTTGACACGTACATGACAACATGTTAAGTACTATTGAAAAAAGTGAATGTTGCCTGTCCCCCTACTTAAACAGCGCAGATACAATACTAAAATTTAGCATGAAAGTAATATCTTTATTTCATAATGCGTCTAAAATTGATGTGAGAACTCTTTCAAAATCCTAAATTTCAATTCTACTGAGACAGATTTCTCATGTCGTGTGTATCCCACTTACACGTTGTCTGGTCACGAAATCCATTTGCGTCAAAGCATCCCTTGCAGTAACAAGATGTGGAGCGCGTCTTCACCACACCTGATGACATTCCCACCACAGCGTGGAATGACATGGTACCTTTTATGGTCTTGAAAGTGTCATACTTGTCCGCAAGGTAAGACTTACACTCTTCACACTCACGCGGAGTTACGAACTCAAACTTGATAGTACTGCGAATCTGCGAAGCCCATTCAAAGAACTCGTGCGCATCCTGGATCGTAGCACATTGACGCTTTACTGCGTCATCTGCCATTCGTTTGGCAGTGCCACCAACTCCATCACATGGGCCTTTCCCATGTCCCGCCTCAAAGTAGTTCCATGTGGCTGGAATCCCAAACAGAAGGTTGTGTTCCGATACCACACTGAACATGGTTTTGTTCCGATACTGTGAGCTAGGGCTATCAGTCCAATAGTGAATGTACTGGACATCGGGATGTTTCTCCTTCAGTATGGTCAATAGCCTCTTGATGATTGCGAATACAGTGGTTGCGTTGTGTCCTAGTTCATCTGAAACAACGCAGATGGACTCGTGTTGCAGCTCACTTGTAGTGGTATCCCTGTAGTACAGCACAATCGGGTGAAGCGTCACCATTTCGCAGTTCCAGTATGCTGACTGGATTTCATTGCTGCTTTTCACCTTATAGTTCTCAGCAAAATCCATTTGGATTATAAGCTGCTTCGGTGGCAAATTTTCCTTTAGATCTTTTAGTTGCCTGTATTGTTCGTTAGCACGACTAGTGTGCTCTCTGAAGATAACAGTCTCTTTTGCGAATATCTCTGCAAAATCACCGTTGCTGACATCCGAAGTGACAATCTTCATCCTTTTCTTCCCGTTCTCTTCAACTCTTTGCCATTCTTCGTACTGAATCTGCCCACGTAGGGGCAAATCATCCAGCAACGCCTCAACGTTTTCTTTCTCGGGATTAGACACCAGGAAGCTGTCAGGGTTGGTAGAGTTGACTAGCCCCTTTTCCTTCAGTGCTTTTAGCTT